ATTACATCTTCAGGACTCGGGCAACACATTGGAAACTGAAGAGGTGTACAACCTCCCATTTGGAATAACCTCTTGTCTATCCTCTCATTCTTGGGTTCGTTATGTCCCTTTCTGCCCGTGGAAGGGCCAAAGGACTCAGTACAAGTCTGAAGACAATCAGACATCACAAAGTGAGCCTCTGCCAAATGGCACAGGGGTCACTGAGGAATTTGCTTTTTAACATCTGAACCAGAGTTGGTGTAATCAAATAAAAGAGTGAAAATTGTATCTCTCCTTTTAGGTCACACTGTTGTTTCTTATTAAAGAGTGGTTGAAGAAAATTGTCATGTCTCCCAGAGATCTTTATACAAATGATCACAGGTATTTTTTTAAATCATGGCACCATTTTTATTTACCTTATATTTTATTCATGTGCATTTATTGGAGCAGGAAGAGGGTGGTTAAGCGCACATCACATATTTGCAGGGCAATTAAATAACAGTAGCCAGGAAAGCTGACAAGCTTACACTTACTCAAAGCCACAAAAAGTGTAATAGTGACAACATTCCTTGTCAGGTGATGATGAAGATTGTTTGGGGGAGTTCATATTTGTGTTTATTAGAGCAGACATATTCACTTGGGGGCTTTAGGGACCAATCAGGCTCCATAACAACCCTTATGTTTGCCTGTAATACTTTTTCAAATCAAAAACAGTACAAATGACAATTTCTGAAATTCCTCCCAATGTTAGCTGTCATGCTGTTGATACAAAAGTCACACAAATAACAGCCACACAAAACTAAAAGTTGTTTTTTGTCAGAGCATTGTGTGATTGGTTGAATTGTTATTTGAAGGCTTAGTCGACCAATAATAGGTGATGTACGTTGTTAAGCACATTTAATTTATACATTTTTACCGATGTTGAGGGGACATTTCAAGTCAAACTGATTATAAATAGGTTAAATGTAACATTGTGTTCATTACAACAATCCACTTATTTAAAAAAACAAACAAAAAAAACAATAAAAGTCTGGGATACAGCACATTTAATACCTTTACATGTTAAAGATAGGTGGTGTAAACTTTTGAACCCATGGCAGTTTATTTTTTCCAAATTTGGCTCTTCTGAATGATTAATTAATGTGGCCTTCATTAGTGTTATTCCTATTTAAATAGAATTAAGGCAAGTGTATCCAAAGGTAATGTCCTGCATGTAAAAAAAGTGCCAACAGTGGATTTAATTTTGTGTGTAAATAAAGTTTTCTCTATTGGAGAGTAATAAAAATACATGCTGGTGAACTTTTGCTCTCAATATCTGCCGACACCCACTAAATGAGATACACTGACTGACAGAAAAACAGGAATAATGTGTTCTTCATTCCCCTCCTTCAAAGGAAATTAAATTTAGCCTGTGGATAAAATTGTTATCACATTCTATCTACACACTGATGGAGGCAGCAGCTTAAAAAACCTGCAGCAGCACCAGAGACCCTCTAGCTGTTATTGTGTTTCTTCCTGCAAAAGCAAACAGAGATAACACATCCTTTCAATCTTTCTCTGTGGCTTCACCTTTGTCTCCCTCTGTATTCATTTCCTCTTTCTCAAACTATCTAACAGGCAGCTGGGATACGGTTTAAATCTTTGATCTGTGGAGTCATCAGTTTTCCCCCAGGCCCAATTTAACTACCGGTCAATACTTGTCTGCACACTCTAATGTTATTGCAGAGTGGTACAATTGCACAAATGTAATCTGCACTTTTATCGCCTTTGGATGTCTTATTTTGCACCTTGCTGAGATCAGATTAAAATTTCTATGATGGTCTTCCGGGTAAGGATTTTTTCCGCAGTAATTCTCAAAAGGGTTTTATGTAACGCCAAGCAAGATATCTGCATTTCAGTGGTACACGATGATCATAACTTAACAACTCTCTGCTCATCAGGGAAGGCTTCATCTACCCAAACCACCTAGAGATAAAACATTTTTTAACACATTTCCCCAGACTTTTTTGACTAGGGTGACCAAACCTGGACACTGACTTATGAAGGGCTGGTGGCACTTTTGTGTACCAACATGTATTTCCATACTGTATTTCAAACCATCTTTCTTTTAAGTGAATCACTATTTAGGTTTATTATGCCTAATCTCTTATTTCTTTCTTCTAGATTGGTAATTTATTTCGTATTCTAATGTGTCAATTTGGATTCATGTCCTATCTCTTGTACTGTCCCTAAAGTTCTGTTTTTAACACTGCAAAGCACTTTCAATTGGTAGGAAAGCTGCTTTCTGAATTAACTTGCAGCCACAGCTAAAGCCTCGGGCTCTTTCTATGGCAATGAGAAGTTACTCTTTTCATTTCATTTCATTGAGCACAGTGGTGGATGTGTGTAAAACTTCATTGATCGGAAATCCTGGATGAATCACGTCTCAGGCTGAAGTGAATCTGACTCACATAAGCCCCACCTGACAGGGGAAACTCAACAAAGGTTTAATCCAAACACTTGAACCAAACTTCATATTGCAGTCAGTGTTATTAAGGAGGCCTATTCCAATCTTTCTTAGCCTAGTTCTTGTTTTGAGAATACATCAACTACAATTACAAAAGTCAAACCTGTGATCTTAAACTAATATTTAAAAGTATACACTAATGTGAGGCATTCCATGATTTATCCCTACATTGGTGATAAAATATCACTCTTATGATTTATTCATACTGTTTTGTATCTGCTATGTTAACTCTGCTTCAGTCTCTGTAGACATTTTCTTCATAATGAATCTATTACATTATCAGACACATGTACACACAACGCTACACATGTAAATGACTGAGCTGGATGTGACTGGTAGAAGTGATGTGTAATAAGAGCACTTCTGAGTGCTGAGAAATAGCCTAAAATATTCATAAAGCTGCAGTCTCTCCTCACTCATCAGGATTTCTCTCTGTCTCCTTTTCTCATGTCCTCGCCAACCTCTCTCTCCCTCACTTCTCGTCTCGCTCCACTTTTTTTCGGCATTGATCCATTCAAATACTCAAGGGTGAGACGTAAATGCGCTCTCTTAACATTTCATGCTTGAAATATCCTGAGCACGAGATCTACAGCGTTTTCCCGGATAATCCCCAATCCCGCTCGGAACCTGCCCCTGACTCATCAAAAATGGCCCCCATTAGTGTTCATTAACAAAGCAAGACGAGACATAAAGACCATCACTTAAAGGGACATCTCATCCCAAAATTCAAACTCTATTGGGGGGACTTTTACCTTTGGTACAATGTACTAAATGGCAACCTTTATGTTTAATATTGTACATGTTGCCTTAACAAATCAAATAAATAAATTAGAGTATTACTTTTTACCAAAAATATCATATGAATCAAGACAATCCCTGATTCATTGAAAGAATCAGTGCAGCCACACTACTTTTCTCCTATTACAAATGATTCATATTATGCCTTTTATTGCATGTTAGAGATGAGGAATTGCACTTTTGGAGGCTTAAGTAGGCTATAATAAAGTATTTACTGGGAAAGTTTAATTTACTCAGTAATACTGCAATGTTTTTTTTCTCCTCGCCGCTTTATGGCATGGTGTACTGCTTCTATTTGAACACTAGATGGGGCTACAGTCAGTGAAAACTTGAAGGGCCTTAAAATGGAATCACTGTAGTTAATCAAGCTTGATCTTTTTGTAGTGAAGAAAATAAAAAAAACGTGTCAACAAAGCAAGGTTAAACCAATCTTTCAAAAGATAAAGAATGGAAGAACAAAGGGATAAACATGGAATAATCTCATTGTGAAATGTAGTTTTCTAAAAAGAGGATTTCAAGCAAAATGGGATTAACAGTCCAAGATTTATATAGCCTGTATACACATTCATCTGTTGCAGCCATAGACTGTAAATATTACTGGTTGCAGTATCATTTATGATTGGGTTGGAGGTCAATGAACAAAACAAGATCATGAAAGTAACTTCCTCACTCCTTCCTTCCACAGCGTTAACACTTTGTCTGAAACCGTCCTGTTTGAAGGGTTATTGATTGTTTGCCTTGAATATGAAGAAGTTCAAACTAGCACAGACATTTCCATGAATGCATTTATTTTTAGGATACACTTTTATCTCACTGTGCTGGAAATATTACTGACCAAAAACAAATCTGTTGACACAAGATTAAATTTCATGAATTAACCAGAAGTTAATCCGGTTTCCGTGAAAGCCATCTGTTCCAGTGTAGCAACTCAGTGGCCTCAGCTGGCTCTCTGGGCAGTGTGTCTGTCAAATAAATAGGTAGGCTAAAGAAAGCTAACTTAATCCTGGCACATAGTTCATTGCATGAGTCAGTCTTTTGGCTGTAAACACTAAACAATGCCAGTGAATGTAGTAGAGTTCTTGGAGGTTAGACAAATACCATTATTGCTGTAAGCCATCATCTTGAACTTTTCTGTTACATTACCGAAGGTGTTATTGAAGAATGTCAACATGGGGGACATTAAGACATGACGAGAAATAAAGACCATCACTTAAAGGAGCATCTCATCCCAAAATTCAAACTCTATTGTCACTCTGAAGGGACTTAGCTATGGTACAATGTATTAAATGGCAACCTTTATGTTTAATATTGTACATGTTGCCTTAACAAATAAAAGTATTACTTTTTACCGAAAATATCATATGAATCAAGACAATCCCTAATTCATTGAAAGAATCAGTGCAGTTACACTACTTTTCTCCTATTACAAATGATTCATATTATGCCTTTTATTGCATGTTAGGGGGGATGGGGGACATGTGAGCGTCTTATAGGCTATCCTTGTTCTAGTGAAAAGTGAACATATCGGATCCACTAGTGTCCTACAACGTTGTTATCGAGGATAAAAACCTGTCAGTGACGTGTTTGAGCTTTCGTAGAAAGGGCTTCTCGAGAGACAACACTGTCCCTGTTATTTCTGTAAATTATTAACAGCTTGATGTTTTTGGTCAACAGTCAAGAGGTCGTAATGATGACGCAGTCGCGGACACAGCCATATTTATTCAAGAGCCCACTGCGGCCACATGCTCAGAACAAGTCCTAAGCCTATTTTCACCGGAAATGTTCAAGTTTCTCGGTGTCTGCTGACGGTATGTCGATATTTGTTGTTTCCTCACATTAGTGTTACATTGTTACCTCAGAATAGGGTTTTCTTTGAGCTCATTTCCCTGTGTTTGGTTGGTCTGTGTCGTAGACTACTGCCCGATGTAAACACGGGCTACGCGTACATGCTGATGAAGCATTTAGATACATCGGAAACCCCTAACGCCGCGGGTTATAAAAACTGCTTTTAAGACGTTTTATTTATTGTTGTGTGGTAAATGCTTATTTTCGATTCTTTCGCATTTGCCGTTTTATGTTACTATAATGTCTTGGTAGAAAAAATGGCGACCTCCTCGTTTTGTTTTGTTTTTTTACAATTTTTTTTCGGGCTGACGAGCTCTCAGCTATCAATCCGGTTTTTCCAATGGTACCTGAAGGTAGCACAGCTGTCAGACTACAGATCCGGAGCAAGGCGGTAAGAACCAGCTCCGACCCTACTGAGACAGAGACACCAGTAGGTATTTGTTTCCTCATCATCATGCAATAATACAAATATTCCTGCTCTGTTTCGGAAATAAAGTGTCTCGCTGTGTAGCCTGAATGATAGGCTATCAACTGGAAGAAAGTCTGAATGATTCCTTTCCTGATTACAAATAGGGGAGGGAAGTCTCCTTTATCATTATTCTATCACTTTATGGTGAGGTTAAAAAGAGACTCATAAACACGTGCTGCTCTTTGAGACAGTATTACACCCTTTTTGTTTGTGTGTGTGTGTGTGTGTGTGGCATTTTTGCACACCCAAAAACTGTGGCAGGACTTCAGTAGATTTGCCTTGTCGTGGGAGAATGTGGACTTCTGATCTACAAACATTTCCTTCAATTAAATGTATTAATTCTACAAGATAGATTCTTCTTTCACAAATACAGATTTAGTTATAAAAACCGGATCACATGTAAGGTGTTGTGTATTGTTGTGTACTATAATATTTTTGTGAACAGTCTATGGAGGTAACACTCACCCCTATTCTGTTTATCATGCTGTTGTTTACTGTTATTGTAGGCAAGGTCTATGACGTGTTTTCAATAAAGATTTTGAAGTAAAAAAAAAAAAAAGTATGAATTTATGAACCAGCGGAAAAAATATATATGAACCAGCGTCAAGGTGATGACGTAAACCAGAACACGACATGGAGGATGGAAATGGTCCTTTAAAATAAAAGTTTTTAAAATGCAAAAAGCAGAGGAAGAATTAAACGTGACATTTGCATTATTTTTCAAAGAAATGGAAGAGTATTGAGAACCTTTACTGAAGTAAGCCTACTTGCCTGATAACACTCAGAATGAGCTCAAACACAGGATTTCATTTTCTGGCTAATCCAGCTAATCCAAGGGGTGAGGGTATAACAGATTAACTTCTTTAAAAAAAAGAAGTGAATCCACTTTATCCCCTGGACAGGAAGGACATGTAAAAGTGAAATATGAAAACTTATGTTGTCAAACAAATGTACTTTCATAAGAAAGCGCAATATATGTATTTTGTATTTGTTCTTGGTCTTGACAGTGAATGCATTTGCTTTAGTGATATTTCATTATTGTATTCAAGAGACATCAAGGATTTTAAAGAGAGGCTAATGAGGACTTCTTAAGTGAAACGTATTTTGCATTATCCTCCCTGAAAGTATAATGTAATGATATATTTTCTCAGCACATTTATGTCTAATCTTTACACTGTAAATGTTCTTCAAAGATTCTTCTGTACCATGACTGAGTGTATATATATATATATATATATATATAAGACTGAGTATAGTCTGTAGTGTAGAACCAGCCTTCTAATGGCATTTTTAAAACAGTCATTTTAAACCTAGTAGCGGTAAGCATATGGAAAATAATTAAACTATATCTATACGGAAAATAATTAAAATTATAATTAATTTATTCAAAATTATTAGTATTAAGTATACTTAATTAGTATTTACTTAGTATGATCAACAAAGTCTCACTTCAATAATTATCTTTTCATTTTCGCCACTTTTCAGAATGTTCGTCAATAGATGTTTTAAGTATACACCGGAAGTTCCGTGTTTCCTGTTGTTGGTTAACTTGACGGTGGTGTTTGTTGCTCGCTAACGCTAGCTAAAAGAAGAAGTCGTCCTTTGTTTCGACTCGTCGGTCACGATCAGGTTATTTACAGTTCACTTCTCGTGCGTTTTGAAATGATTTTTTTCATCACGCAAAGTGTTGCATGTCTCTTGATGTGTTCTTTTGTGTGTGTGTGTGTGTGTTTCGTTTAGGGCGGATCCTGACACCGTGACGCTGTTTGTGAAACATCGCAGTGATGGGTGGAGGTGGACCTGCTGTGTGCTCAGGTTTACCCTCACTGACGACTCTCTGCAGGATGAGATAACCAGGTCCACTCTGAGCTCTTCGAGGCTGCAGAGAGTTCAACACAGCTGCCAAAATCAAACAAAGGTAATGTGTGCTGTCGTGACTCTGGTGTTTGCTTTGAAAGTGTTTTTAATTTAGTGTTGATTTACTTTTCAATTACATTTCAGTGGCAGCTTACGATCATACTTAACAGGGAAATATATTTTCCATCGTTACATTAATTCACCCATGTATCTGTTCATTTCATTCAGTTTGCATTAATAAATTAAGGTCGTTTATTGATTTTTTGTTGTTGTTGTGCGTCTTTTAGCTTGATTCTTGAAGTCTCTGTGATCGTGTCAACTATGGAGACCTGTCAGGTGACTTTGGCTGTAAGAGGAGAAACATCCCCAGGTATTTATAGCTGTTAGAGTTGACCGTAAATACATATGAAGACAAACAGGTCACTTCGTACCCCATGACTCTCAAGAACATAGTTTGAGAGTCATGGGGTACGAAGTGACCTGTTACAAATTCTTCTCCTCCCCTTCATCCACAAATCTGTTTTTGAGTTTGTTTTCTTATTTGGCAATCACGAAGTGCACAAGAAACAGCCATCAGTTAAGAGTTTGTGAGAGAAGACAAACACACCATTGAGTGAAAAACAACACAAGGATCTGTACCTATTTTGTATATGTATAATAAATTGAGATGTTTTTAATTATTTTGAATGCTGAAATAAAGCGTCAAAGTCAACGACGTCATATTTCATTTTTTTGTTCTGCTTGTTCAACACTCGTTTTAAACATAACACCATTTAAAAAAAAAAAAAAAAAAAATTCAGAGAGGATTTTGATCGTTTTTTTCTTTTCATTTTGGCACTCGTGGTTTTCCTTTAGCGGTGGGTAAAACCTCTTTGGGGGGCCCCAAAGGATTTTATATGCAGGAAAACCCCTGCTATGTTTAGAAGTTACAAAGTAGTTTAATTATTGATATTATTTCAACATGGATGATCTTCTTTTGAAGCATTGGCCAAGGATTATTCTATTGGCCTTACTGTAGGTCCAGGATGTAAAATGCGTTGCATCCCTTGTTGGCAGTTCCTTTTTTTTATGAGGACATTTTATAGATGTTAACTTACAAATGTTGTTAAAGTGGTAAAGTTTTTTTAATCACTAATGATCTTCATTTGAACATTTCTAGGTGAGGTGATTGCAGTTGTTGGGGACTGTGAAGCCCTGGGAAGCTGGTGCCATCAGAAAGCTGTGATCTTACGCCCTGATAGTAACGAGGGGTAGGCTACACTTTTACACATTTTTTTTGTTTGTTTAAAAAAGAAAGTGAAACGCCTAGCAATGTTTTGTTCAAGTTTAACAGGTTGCAGTTTTTTCTTCAAAGGATGGAATGCTTTTCAGTTTTGTCTTCCTTCATTATTTACGTCTGTGTGTTGGTTCCTTGACAGAAACACGTGGACTACAACAATCACTCTACATAAAGGAGTCGTTTCCCAGTACCGCTATTTTAAAGGCTTCTTTCTCGAGTCAAAGGTGAGCAGAGCCGCTTCTATATTTCTATTACCTTCAAATGAAGGTTGAAGATTGCCAATAGACATGAATATGAATTAATTTGAAATAATCTTTGAAGGCATAAAGGTTGTTGATATCAGGTTTTCTGTCAGTTGATACCTTTCCATTTCAGCTTCAGCAGGAAGGAGATAATTGGCTGTAATTTTTGTGTGTGCTTCACTGACCTTGAAAAGATGTTTGAAAACAGCAGCTTTAATTACCAGATTTTAAGCTAGGATCAAGACTAAGGTTTGTGTATCACTGTCTCTAAATCTGTGTTTATGAGCCATGAGTTGGTGTAAAGGCCTAGATTTACCGGGCAGGAATCAGTCCCCTTGTTTGCTCTAATCTCAGCGTTTGAGCCTCTGCTAAGCCACTCTGTATAGCCCTGTTCCTGTTCAGACTGACGTTTCAAGCTACTTATGCCCCTGTGATGTTTTGCCTTCAATCTGAATGTCGTAGCGACGTAATGAGGGGACTAAGTGACCCCCCCCTCCGTCTTTGTAGGTAGTAACAGAGGCATTTCAGAGGTGAGAAGGGATCAGTAGAGCCAGAGGGGGAGCACATCGCTGTGTGTGCATGTCTGTGTGTATAGAGCTACAGCTGTGCCTTGTTTCTGCCAAGCCAAAACACAGTGAGACTTAACAGACTGGAACATCATTATTACCATTGCAGAATCAATAAGAATGTACAAAGATGAGATGTTGTCTGAGCTTGCACTTTTGTAGTCTTATATACACAAACACACTGAGGATCAAACTCCTCTGGAAAAGAAAGGGTGAGGTGTGTTTCTGTTTTGAGGGTTAGGGAAGGGCTCGGTCCACATTATGTAAGAAGCTTGTCATGACATGACAGGGCGTTGACTTTTAACACAATGCGGAGTTTAAGAAGATTGCATGTACCAGTGTGGTCTCACATGAGGAATGAAGGTTACTGCCACGCAGGTGGAGTCATATCAGCAGGACTAGCCGTTTTCACATGTGCACTCCTGAAAATATCTAGATTTGAGGAGGACTACTCCGGAGATTCTCCCGACCCGGCCGTTCACACATGCTCCTCACAGTGGGAGACTATTCCTGTCAGATAGGAGGGGGTGCGGGGGGTCTCCTGAGGTAAGACGTGACGTAAAAGAAGACACAGACGGAGCAAAAGAGTCCACTATACGATGATATAATGAGAATATTTGCCTTTTTTTATCAATGCTAAGTGTGGTTTGGCTAAAATCACAATGTCAACAAAAGAGCTGAGAACAACACACTGACGGAACAGAAAACATTATGCCGCCGTTTAATAACCAGCGTTTGCTTTAATTGCGCGGAGATCGTAGCGTCTGGCAGGAGAAACTCCGGGTGAAGTCTGAGCGTAAATTTCAGCTGTTTGCGCTCACACATGCAGCTCCTCCTGCAAATATCAGGAGTTTTTCAGGAGTTTTTTGAGTGTGACAGCCCTAATGCAGTAACCATGTTTTTAATTTTGGCCAATAATATTGAATATTTTATTCAACTCGGCTAATAAGATTAGATAAGCGGTCAAATGTGATGCCACAGAATGATTGTTGCCGTAACTTATTATGCCTTTATTACAGATACAAAAGCAGCTTCTTTTTTCTCTAAATAGTTCTTTTCTTTTCCTTTACTAATAATTCCACTTTTCAGAATTCAACCCATGGTGGCTGACAGCCGTAAATGGGGATCGGTGACTATTCCAGCTCTAATCTTTCTCACACTCTGCTCCAAAGACAGCTGTGAAGCTGGAAAAAGTAGTGCTCTGTATCTCATGTGAAACCCTAACATTGTACCAAACATTGGAATTGCAGAGTGCAAGGGGTCCCAGTCAAGTGATAGTCAATTTTTGGGAGACCCATCAGCAGCCTCGCACGATGAGCCCCACAGGTATAAAACCACAATAACAAAGACAAAGCCCATTCAGAATCAGCTGGATAGTATGAACTGTTTAAACCATTTGTGCAGCCTGCTTCACGTCTTTCTTTGACCCATCCTTTTTTTCTCGTGAACTCTATTGACATGCGTTCCCCCTAGAATAGGACATTTGTTTGAAGAAGTTTAGTTATCAACTTTTTTGTTGTCGTGTGTTTTATTTAGATTCTTCAACGTTTTCTTATTATCCTGCTAAATTAAAACCTTCAGTGATATGCTCGTGATGCCATTTTGTAGAGTTGAAACTGTTTCATAGCTCAGTCTACTCTTCAAGTTGAGGCAAATCAAATTCAGGGCAAACCAGTCAGGGAGATTTGAGACTTTTCTCTTGCTCTGGTTTGATCTGACCTCAGCTGCTTACATTCTTCTAATGCACTTCTCTTTTTATTGCTGCAACAGGCCAGATAATTGACGATGGACATTTTGGAAATTACAGTAAGTTTTTAAAAAAATTAATAAAATAAAATGTTGTGACCAACTATTAACACACAGAATATGACTACTTTTGTACTATACATTACTTTACTACTACTATGATTACATTGGAAGTTGTAATCATCCATGAGGTCCATGAGTTGGAATTAACACAAGGTACTTGTGCGATAGAAGTACTGTAACACTACAGAGCTTACTGATGTGTGGGATTTAAATTCCCTATAGACCACATTGTGGACACTTTTATCTTTTTTGAGCTCATTCATTCTAACAAGTTCTCTGGTCAGCAGTCATGGGAGACGAAGTGGACATACATTGTTAAGTCATGCTTCCTGTGTGTCCATTTCCTTTACAGACGGGCTGAACTGTGTGGACTCTGGGTGGCTGACGTGCCAGACAGAGATTCGCCTGCGTCTGCACCATTCTAAGGCGGCACCGGTTTCGATCACCAAGAAGAAATTCAAGAAGTCTCGCTTCAGGTAAAGATGACAGAGGAGTTGAATCGAACACCACCCAGGGAAAGTTCTGCTTAACAGCGACATGAGATAGAACAGAGGATCGTCATTACAGTGCTTCTGTTACCCGACCTGCCCTGTGACCCTAAGTGTAACAGAATCCTGCATACAGAATTCTAAGAAGGGAAAATAAGGTAACATTTTATGCTTACAGAATCAAGCTGACGTTAGAGGGCTTTGAGGAGGAGGAGGACGAGGAGGAGGAGGAGGAAGATGTCCTCAGTCCGACAGCTTGGCTCAAGATGACCAGCACTCTCGAGATCAGTATGATCAGTGCCAACGGCTACAAGTCCCGCCACTCGCAGCCTGAGTGTGGGAACACGTTGGAGCCCTCCCAGTGGACAGAGTACAGCATCCACACTATGGACCCAGACAACCTGGAGCTCAACTTTGAGTTCTTTGAGGTAAGACTCAATATATATATTGTGTGTGTGTGTGTGTGGACATTTGCCTGGATCAGTATGCAGTCTGAATCTAAAAAAAAGCTGATAAGCTAGAAAGAAGATGAGGTATCTTTAGTAGCTTAGCTACTAATTTCTCAAACAAAAAGGAGGGACAAATGCAGCCCTAACGATAAGGTTGAACTTGTATTCATGGGATTATAATCGTTGGGATTTCATATGTTTGTTCACAGGAGGATCTGAGTAACCATGTCGTCCAGGGTGATGTTCATCCAGGACATGTGGGCACAGCTTGCCTTCTCTCCTCCTCTTTTCGGGAGAGCGGTAAAGACCAGGGTGTTGCAACGCTTCCCATAATGGGTCGAAACTCCAGGCAGACCATTGGCAAAGTCAGAGGTAAGATTTTTGCAGAACAATTCAACAATGTCACGCAAATTGATTCAACTGTGATTATGCCAATGCACCTGTCTAACCAGTTTTTCAAGACTCTCATGTTTTTTTGTAACACAGTGTACTTTGCGTGCTTTGTTGTTGTGCTCTAGTTGACTACCTGGTGATCAGGCCCATCCAGGGACTGCAGTGTGACATGAGCTCCTCCTTCACCAAGTACTGGAAGAAGAGAGGTGCTCTGAATGTGGGTCACAGGGGAGCTGGCAGCACACACACAGCTAAGTGAGTGCTAATGCCAGTCCTGAACAGATTTGAGTAGGTTAGACTGCCTTAGATTCTGTGCATACCGAGAATATATAGTTAATAGTATAACAATGTGTGCCAGTCGGAGCAAGCACTTTTGTGTTCCTTGTCCACAAATCCTCTTTCCCTTGCTTTCTGCAGACACCAAAGAGTCAGGGAGAACACAATTGCCTCATTCAAAAGTGCTGCCAAGCATGTAAGTGTGGCTCAGGATTACAGCTTGATGTCAAAATGTACCTTTCACTTCGTTCCCAGCTTAATACGATTGCAATATTTGACCCATAGGGTGCAGCCTACGTGGAGTTTGATGTCCACCTCTCTAAGGACGCTGTTCCAATTGTATACCATGATCTGACATGCTGCATATCCACCAAGAAGGTAACATTAAGGCATGCTGTAACTGGGGATGAACAAATGGAATTGACTTCTAGAATCAGAAATGTTATACTTTATTCTTATACCCTTACAGAAAAATGACAAGACTTCTCTGGAGCTTATTGAAGTGCCAGTCAAAGACCTGACCTTTGATCAGCTGCAGCTTCTGAAGGTAAATACCTGATCAAATATGCCAGTACCGCAAAATCCAGTGTATGAGAGGCACTTTTAAGACTTATTTTTGAATCTAAAAAGTTGACAGCCACTTACACACTTGGGTGAAGAAAATGCAGTAACACGTGCAGTCATTATCACGGGTGCCGCTGCCACCATCTGACACTGCATGCGAGGTGACGCGATTGAAAATTCATCCCCATTCATTGTGTAATGCAAGCTGTGCTGGGATACATGGTGACAAAGACCTGGCTGGCTGCGCTACTATTTAACATCTTTGTGTACTTCCCAACTTTCCCTGTAGGCTGAGAGCTCAACTAGCGCACTGTAGCTAGTAGGAGTGCAAACTCCACTGAGTAAAAACAGACGGTACTAAAGGAGCGACATAGCTGTACACAAACTCCTGAACACACAATAGAAATCTTCACGCAGGCCGAAACCTTTTGACTTTCTGGCAAACCCCCCAAAAACAGACTGCGTCTTGTATACCTCTGCAATTTATATTCTGGATTTACAGAGTCCAATGCATGTGGAAAAATGATCATGTATAGTTGCACAGTCACTCATAGAAACTACTTAGTAGCAGTAATACTGTCTTCATTAGCCACCGAGGCATTTCTTGGCTTGGTGCCTTTTTCACTTAGAGAAGAGACGGTGTGCAAAGGATTACTGAATAAGGGCAGGTAACACGAGATTAGCACCAAAGAATACACTTTAAGCACTACTACAGGTGTTATAATGAAACATGAAGTCACCTGAAAGTAACAAGTGTGGAAGCAGAGTGCATTATTTCTTCATTTCAAACATTCCCATTATTAAATGTTTTTTTTTTTTTTTGTGCACACAGTTGGCCCACGCCACTGCGATAAAAGAAAACAGCGATAAAGGTAGGCATCCTTTTTTTTTCTCTCTCTCTCTCTATCACCGCCTTCTGACAGAATCAGACATGAAGGTGCGTGACATGTTAAAAGCTACGTTCTTTAATTCTCTGTTTTTTGGAATACAATTCCATGGCAATCAAAAGACTGGAATGTATTCAGTTTGCATGAAAGAGTTCTTTTTGTACCGCTGCTTACATCACGACAAAGAGATGAACGATTGTAGAAGTAGGTCAGAGGATACATTGTGATGTTCATTAACAAGAATGTGTTCTGTTTGTTCAGATCTCCTGGATGATGAAGAGGAGATCGATGAGCATCAGCCATTCCCCTCTCTCTCACAGGTATATCCCTTCTAATGATTTTATGAGATGGTTACTAGATTTTACCTTTTAAAAATTAGGATTTATTTCCCTTCACTCTGCTTGATGGATCCATCCTTGTAAATTTCTCATTAAAATGAATATTATTCCATTTACCTCTGCTTCAGATCTTCCAAGCTATCCCTGAGCATGTGGGCTTCAACATTGAACTCAAGTGGATCTGCCAGATGAAGGTAGGTGTACTAAGTCAGCATGATCAGTGATCCCATAACTTGTTTACCAACTGGTCCTAAGATGCTAAATGTTCTCTCCTAGAATCAGGAGTCGTACTTTATTTATTTTGACCCCCTCTGTTTTTGATACGTTTTGATAGAAAGAGTTAAAAATAAACTCTTGTCGTGAATGCTTGTGTTTTGACAGGACGGGTCATGGGACGGCAACCTGTCCTCATACTTCAACATGAACACTTTCCTCGACATCGTCCTATCCTGTGTGCTGCAGAAAGGCGGCAAAAGACGCATCGTCTTCTCCTGCTTTGACCCAGATATCTGCTCCATGTAAGCACCGTGAGCTACCGAGGTTAAAACAGCCTGTAGAAACTACATACAAACAAGATGCAATTATGTAAAAAAAAAAACAAGTCTTAATGGCATTCATCAGCTGAAAATACAGTGTAGGTCATCTTCTTAAAGCTGCATTTTTATTCAGCTTTAGTTTTCACCAAGGCATTTGAATGCACCACTCTAAGATTCTTCAATTAAAATGAAAATCTAGTAAACCAGACAACAGATGATGTCTTTACAGGATGATGTTAAGAAATGGGGCTCTACAACTGCTGACAATATCATTTCATGTGTCTTCGCCCCAGGGTGCGTCAGAAGCAGAACAAGTACCCCATCCTCTTCCTGACTCAGGGAATTTCCGTGAAGTATCCTGAGCTGATGGACATCCGCTGCCAGACCACTCAGATCGCCATGAGCTTTGCCCAGAGTGAGAACATTCTGGTAAGAATTTGTGACAGAAAATCAAATATTTATCACAAAGTTTCCCCCGAGGTTTCAAGACTTTGTTAAACTTCTGTAAAAAAAGATTCACACTTCTGAGTAAGAATTATATGAATAATACCACATACAGTTCAAATAATACTACAATAATGATGATAATTACACCTCTCTTCACCTCAAAAACCCATCCTCATCAATAACCAAACAGGGGAAATCATGGACAGTTTTAAATATCTCAGTATAATTCTAAATAACAGACTCAGTTAGAACAACAAATATCACAAAAGGAGCCACCAAAGACTGCCAGTCATCCACAAACTCGATGGACTCTGTCGCCCCAACCCTCCTCCTCCTTCTGTTGTGTCAAAGCATCATTCAGCCCATCCTCTTGCTGTACTGTTCCACCTTCTTGTTGAACCACTACCACCACCACTTTTTTTTTGGATGTTAATGTTCAAAGTAAAATGTCAGCAGCACAGTGCCAGTTTTGGAGCTTCAAGTGCACACATTTGAAGATTGTCGCAAAACTACTGACTGTAGTGTAATCTTTGTTTGTACTCCAAATGCTATTTGAATTATCATGCACATCCATTAACAAGTATTGCTGCAGTGCCCTTTAGCAGACTTACAGACATCAGTTAAAACGACATCCCACAGCACAAACTATGTCAGCTGTCACATTTAAAGGTTCAAGCAAGTGCAGAAGCTCACCACAGACAGCTTATGCAGCACAATATAAAACATTCACATCCACATAAGCATGATTTACTTTGTGTTATGAGGATGTGCAAACTTTACCTAGTATTTAAAAACAACATGAAAGTTGGCAGATTTAAACTATTTTGAGGAAAACTTCCAAAATAAAAGCCAAGATCCACTTTTATTTTCTTACTTGATTCCTTTTCTTGCTTCTGCAGGGGATCAGTGCCCACACAGAGGAGCTGCTAAAGAACCTGTCCTTCATTGCGGACGCTCAGTCTAAAGGTCTGGTGGTGTTCAGCTGGGGAGACGAGAACAACGACCACGAGAACAGGAGGCAGCTGAGAGAGCAGGGAATCGATGGACTCATTTATGATAGGTGGGCTTAAATGCAACAGGATTATTCTGTTACCACACATCCCATCATGCACCTTGTACATTTTGACCTGTTGTGTCAAGTTCAACCACTAGCCACCCAGTATAACTAAGCAGGCCTTTCGGTTTCATAAATCCAATTACTGCTGGCCCTTGTCTGAATGGTTACTTGGCATTTTTTTTTATCAGCACAGTTGTTCAGTGTTCAAAGTTATATAATGAACCTTTGGCAGGCGTGGTAATCACTTGGAACCTGATTAAATGTTTGATTATTCATCGAACATGTGAGGGCTGTAGCTGTTACATAAAGCTTTGTGCTTCCAGCTAAACAAAAGCGAGTTTCCTCTGGTCTCTGCAAAGCCGCATGGTCAGCAGAATCTGTTTGTTCGGCCGTTTCACTTCTGTGTTCCCCTACACAATGACATTTGCGCCACATATACGTCCCGCTTTGGCCGTGACCTTTACAGAGCCCTGCTGACATACGTTTTGACACCCAATAATACAATCCAGCAGTCTCTCTAGACCCAGGTGTGACCCTTTTATTTCACATCACAGAACCTTTAACATCTCCAGGTTGTTGTCATAACTGTGCCTCTTTCTTACAGAATTTGTGAATGCTTGGTGCCATATTTTGACTCAAGTTCTTCAGATTCCCGTAATGTGTCTCTGGTTCCTGGCTGTGTTTCCGTTGTTCAGTCAAGGCTGGTTTTTGGTTCTTCCATTGAGTACTGCCTGAAAGCCTCCATAGTGCACATGAATGTGCGGCAGGAACACAAGAATGTTCCTTGACAATGATGCAAGACTGTTGACTTCTCATGTGTCGTAAACTTTAATTTTACTAGACACAATTATTTGATTGGTCAACTGCCATGTTTATCATTTTTGAAGCTAGTTCTCGTGGCTGACAGCTAGCTCACGTCCTGTTTTAATGCCTGCATATTGTTTGAAGGATTCTGTCATGGCTAATGATGTGGATGGCATGTATTTTAAAGCAATGCAGCACCAAAGAGTGAATGGCTTGTATAGTGCATGAGGAAATGTAACATGACATCTTTTTCAAACCATCAAAATCGTTTGTTTTTTTTGCATTTAAAAACTGTTAGTTTTCAACCTCCCCAGCAGCCACTAACAGCACCAAACCACATCAACAACCCCGCACACCACTGTTAATTGGAATGGATTGTCTTTATTACCGTTTGTCCTCGAAGTAGCTGCACTAAAATCCTTTAAAGCTGTGATCCTTACAAATGTCAGATGTCAGCATTTTAAGTTTGTGGGCACGCTGCTTGTCCTGCAGTTTGGTTTCTTTACCAATTGGGTGATTGCACAAAATGGACACTCTTTGTGAGCTTGAATATCTGTTGCACAGGTGATTTCTTCAGCAGCTCTCTCATGAAACATGCTATCAAAATTTCCTGCCTGAAAAAAAATCTCACATTAACCATCTTGGATTCTTTGGTCTTGAAGCTGGCTCACTTAAAAAAAATTGGACTTTGGAATGATACATTTCTCCGGACTGATGATACTCTTAATCTGTGCAAAGAATTAACTTCCTTATTATTGCTTTGCCATAAATTATGCTCGATTCCAAACCATTCCAACCCAACCGGGCATCTACTGTGAGTGGCTTGATAGAGCTCTCTTTGAAGAGTACATAGTCTGGAAAAAAAAACATTGGGGATGCAACTTTCCTGTAACCTTGTCACTGCTATGGAGCACACAATGATTAACCTTCCACCTAAGCACACATAGCTGGGATGTGATCAACCATTCCTTACAACCCATTCAAATCCATTTAAAAGCTAATCCTCCTAGCCCAAATAGGAACCAGCACAATCATACCCCTTTCTGTTTACATTACCGTGGGTAAGCTACTGAATGTTAACATTACCGTTTTACTAGTTTATTCATGCAGATCTGTTTTTTTATATCTATATTAATATGGCAGTGTTGGCATTTGTTGGCAACATTGTTGTTTTCTGATATAAGATAACATTTTATTTATGTCAGAACAAATCCCTTGATTACAGTAATTCTGTAGTTCAGTATTATTTAACAGTGTATGTTTTGTAATAGTACCATCACACGCTGTACGTCATTCTAAAACTAGAATATATTGCCTAAATTATTGATTCCAAGCAATCAGACATTTAAAACTATTTTTTTCCTGACTCTAAAGCATTTTGTCTTGTGATGGATAACTGTGTAACATTAGATCTTGACTTACATGACCTGTTTGATGATGTGCAGTGAATTCAGTAGACGGAAAAAAATTATATATAGTTTTTAAATGTTGGTATGCAAAGTGTTGGTAGATCAGGAAAGAGCTACTTTCCCTTTGGTTTTTTTGAATGACAGACAGCATTTGAATAACCATAAAAGGCCCCAGTATACACCAGTATAACTAATGTCACTGATCTTTCCCTTTTCTTTCAGCATCTGTGAGGAGCAAGGAGAGCAGCCAAACCTCTTCCAGATAGAGGCGCAACACTCCCTGCAGGAGGTTATTACAGAGGAGACCATGGTGAGCTGCTCCTGCTACTCCATCCCCTGCACCACGGGCCCCTGCATCGCCTCCAAGGCCCGGGCCAGCAGCGCTGAGTCCGACTCTGGTCTTAGTTCCTCATGAACACCCCTAAGCTCCTACCTTTAAATGGACCTCACTGCACATGCACTCTCAATAGGACCAAGGCAGGATTGTATTGGTCTATTTAACAAAATATGACCCGAGAGATCAGTTCTGTGTATTTATTGAGACATTGATTGGAAATGATTCACGTCTTGCCCCCATTCACACATTGATCACGAGTAAAGCCACCAAACGCAGCTCCACACCACTGCACTCAGTTACAAATTGGTTTTGTCTCGTCTCTTTCCAAGGGTTTTGTTTTTTTATGCACATTAAATAAATCAGTGAATGTTTTGCCAAAATTTAATGCAGCCATATATTTGATTTTTTTTGTTTTTGTTTTTGATGGAGACGGTGGCCTGTTTAGAGGTCTAAACTGGGTTATTCAGAATAGTGGGACATTTTTAAAATGGCAGATTATATTCATGTTTATTTTGCCAATATCTTGCAATGTTTTAAAGATGATGTGCTAAAATGTATGTAATGCGTATTATAGTTTACAAAGGAAAAAGCTGAACTGATACTTAGTCATAAAATATATGCTGATTCAGGATCATTCTGTTTTATGTTCTCGGTGCATGTAGCCATTACCTGAACTCATTTTTTTTTTTCATGATCTCAAATAGCAACGAGTAGTAGCTACTCTAGTCTGCTTTAAGTTATGAGACGCAAAGAGTGAAGTGGGTTCATTGTGCATGCTTCATACAGTTCTCTGGAGGTTATATGCATTTAAAGAGTGTGTTATAATGAATGAACACATTTTGCTTCAATGACAACATGATTGATACATGTATTTTTTAACTGAACTTCAAACTCCTGCTTATAGACCTTAAAAGTGGGATTTGTCAATTCCATCCTGCACACTGGATGTACTCTTTCTGTTCTTTTTATCTACTTGATTTGGGGAACAGCAAAATCATGTTTTTTTTAAAAAGTGCACATGTATGCTGCAGCCTTAAGGGGGAAATGTTTTTTTTTTTTTTTTGAAATCACCAATACCTCACCCATCAGTCATTAAAATAGACTTGACTAGAGGTGTTTGTACAGAATGAACAATTACACCTCTCTCATAGAAATCCTGTTTAGCTTCACATCCCTTATACTTAAATTAGAATGATGAAATAGAATAGTGCTACATCTAGGACTCAGCCCACCAGATTCATTCATAGTATGCTGTCTTGAATACTTTCATGTTTCACAAACCTCTCTCAACAATCTTAAAATTGAGTCTTGCATGGACTGTATATCTGTCTCAATGAATATCAGGGCAAATTATTAATCTAGTATGAAGTATTTAAATCACCTCTTCAGGAAAAAGAGTATATGATGATGATGTAAATAAAATCAAAACGTATATTTGTTTTTTTTGTCCATGACTATTTTATCCAGTATGTTACTTGACTTCTTTGTGTTTAAAAATAAAAGTCACTTTGCAGTAACTTTAATAGCCAAAAGCTGATTTCAGCTGTGTTGGTAATATGCAGCACATATTTTTCTGTTCTTTAGCCAAGCCTGATAATACAGATCTATTGCACATATTTTATAATCATTCTGCTTGATTTGAACCTCTAAAACTTGAGAAATAAAGGCATCCTGTAAGTCAACTGCTTGGTTTGTAGTACAAAGACACATTGACCATTGGTCATTTTTATGAAACATGATGAGTTATTTAGGATTTGTTTTTATAAATTTACAAATAATCCCATTTTACATGAAGCACGTTAATATTGCATGGTTAAAGTAAGAGGCATTTAATTCAACACAGGTACACACAGCTTCTTGTCAGGCTTCAGGCAGCTACAAGTAAACCATAACTTATCTATTAGTATGAAAACACATGCACACTCAGTGTGAGTACCACTCATAATATGGGTCCTCTTATCTTATCTGATCAGGATGTACCTCGAAACCAAAAGTGATTAGAGTGAACATTTTAAAACCTTTGGCAGGTAGGCTTCAGGGTTAGAGAAGCCTAAGCATTACTTAGGTTGACTTAAATAGAACTTAATGATTTTTTATAATTTTATAATATTAAAGCATAAAAATGTGTAATAAATATAGTTATAGTATTTATTACACATTATATACAATATAGTTGTTGTGCATGCTGGCATACAGACAGTTATTGTTTTATTAACACCTGCACATTGACAGGGCAAAAAAATAGCTTTTCTTTAACCATATTATACAATGTTGAAAAAATGTTCTCTTATACTCACATTATTTTTTATCTAAAGAAATTATATTTTAAATAAAAAACATATCAATATATAATAAAATCTAGGTACAAAACCAAAAATGAATTATGTACAATTAATAATCTGTCCGTCATTAATCTTAATAAGTGACACCTGTGTTTGTAGTGCTAATTGCATTCCCTGAAAATTCACTTTTGCATATATCTTAAACTTGTCACACCAAAATAATAATATATATCTTATCTATAGGGAAGGACTGGCCTCAAATTGAATACATTTATAAAGACGCTGAGTCAGTCGTGTTATAATCATAGACTGGTTATAATGTGTAAGCGCCCCCTGCTGTTCGATAAAGCAAAGTTCACCGACTATGTTCTTAATCAGGATTTTATAAACAATATTCTTCCATTCAATCTTTTCGAAAAAGTAAAAATTAAGCTAAATACGACACTGTAAATCATAATGACAGCAGTTAAAAGAAAGGCAATGTTTTTATTCGCAAATTTACCATCACATTTTACGTCACACGGTATATAAAAATAGAGCTATGCTTTGCTGGGAATTGTAGTTTCTTCTCCTTTAAAGATTAAAGCGTTTGTCGCGTCATGGACGCAATTTCCCGAGATGCAACGGTGCTAGCCTAAGCCACTAGCAGGTGCACGCCCACGTCAAATAAACCCGTCGACTGTAATCCTCACTGTACACAGCGGGATCCTCTGCGGGTATTTTCTGCTTCTCTATACGCTGGTACAATATAAAGCGATACAAATGGACAACTCCGGCAAAGAGAAGGAGGCGATTCAGCTAATGGCCGATGCTGACAAAAAAGTCAAGTCCTCTGGCTCCTTTTTGGGAGGGATGTTTGGAGGGTAAGGCAGCACTGCACCAAAGAACAAACAGCTAGCAAGCGTGAACTGTCAGCAGCAAAGTTGGCACGCAGCCTATTTCTCCTAAGACATACGTTCATAAGTTATATGTATACAAGTTTTACATTGTAGAAATGTAGCTTAGTATTACAGCAAGAGGAGGCAACATCCAGCTTTCGATGTTTGTTTGCTAAATAAGCTATTACTTTCATAAACAAATCAGCAAATTACACATTTTCCACCGCAGACTACGCAGCAGACAGTTAACTAGCTTTTTCATTGACTAATTTAGTCCCTGCATTGTCAAAAACAACACTTGTTAACGTAATGTTTTTATTGTGTAAACCTTTTATTGTGTAATAGTTCCAGTTGGTACATCAATTAAATCTGTGCTTTGATTACATGTAATGAAATGCAAACACAATTTACCTCATAGTCTTAACAATGACACCATACACACATCCAAACACTACGTAAACAGAAAGTAGGTAAGTAAACCCCCTTTATTCTTTATTGATCCCCTTTATTCCTTATGTCTGCATTGACAATGTGATTCTCTTTTCCCAAACTGTTATTATTATAAAAGCATCAGCACTGATTTAAATGATACGACCGACCTTGGGGAGTAATTGACATGTTATTTGAATGAGATCAAACACAAAAAGATTGAATCATCCATTAAAGAAAACAATGTCGACCCAAAATATAAAGAAGCCTGCTGTGACTCAGTCTCTTTTCCAAAGTTCTGTCCTTTGTGACCCCCAGATGTTAGGCCTCGACAGTACTTGAGCGTGATAACCCCTGGCAGGCTTTACACTGGGAATTCTGTGAAGTAATCCTCTGCTGTGATTGAATTGCCAGAATATTATTACAACTACAGGGAGCTCCCAGGGGTCCACTTCTTGTCACTGAGGAAGGGAGATCTATAGTGCTTGTGATGAGGGATTTACATAAGCCAGTCTGCCAATCTGGGCTCTGCATCTTATTGAGCAATGCAACAACTTGGCAGGTTTTACAGTTTATCACCCTATGGTGCCATGTAGGCATCATTTATAAGTTACACAAATGGTTTCTGCAGTTGAACCTTTGTATGCCATGGAGCCTGTTTGATTTAAAAACATGTACTTATCTGTTTTCTTTTTGTTTCTTTCTTCGTTTAGAGGACCTCACAAAGTGGAGGAAGCATGTGAGATGTACTGCAGAGCAGCCAACATGTTCAAGATGGCCAAGAACTGGAGCGGTGCGCTAAGCTTCTTTCTACTCACGATATCTTACCTTAAAACAGTCAATGGAATATTATTCTGATGTTATTGCAATGCACATCGCTTCTCAAGTTTGTGTCATTTTCTCCTTTCCTTTGTCTACAGCTGCTGGAGGAGCGTTTTGCAAGGCGGCACGTATCCATATGCAGCTGCAGAACAAACACGATTCAGCCACCAGTTTCATCGATGCTGGAAACGCTTACAAGAAGTCCAACCCTAATGGTGAGACTGCTTCCATGTCTTTCATTGTAGTGCCTTGATTATATTTATTTTGTATCCAAATCGTTGTACTGTTTAAGTAATGAAGCATCAACTCTTGCATTTATTTCTCTAACTTAACACATTCCTGAGTAAAGGACATACATGAAGTGTTTTTTTGAATACCGTTTGTAGTGCAGTTGATCGGGGATTTCCACATCTTGCAGGGCAGAAAAGAGAGTGTACAAGTGGGCCATGTTTCTGTGACAGTAATTAAGCCTATCTCTTATATAAATAAGGAGAGTATTTCTGTATGACTAAAATATTTGTGTCTTGAGGCCGTATCCTCACATTAATGAAAGAGAACAGAGCACATTGAGTGTCTAGCTGTAAGCCACACGTTGTGACTCAGTTTTCAACAGCCTTTACTTTGCTGTTAAAACTACGTCATGTAAACAGTAGATGAATCATAATGTGACAGAGTTATTGTCCTTGAACTGCATCACATCAACTAATCGATAGATTAGTTAGATCTTTGTACTCTACAAGGAGCTCGAGCTGTAACTGTGTTAGTGTCTGTAAATAACGTAGAATATCACAGGATGCTGTGCTGTTTATGGGTCTGTTAGTTTTTAACAAAATTAACCCACTGTCTAACTGTCCCCTCCTCTTTTCTTTATGCTGTCAAAAGAGGCTATCAAGTGTTTTAATGCTGCCGTCGATATATACACAGACATGGTAAGATGCACATAGGAGTCCTTATATGTTCTGAACCATAACAGCAAAATAAGTACACCATTTATTTTCTGTTTTTATTTCATTCTACAGTTTTATAATCCATCCATCCAGTTTTCTTTGGCTCACATAATGAGTTCTGTATCCCACATCATATATGTGTGAAAACCTTAATACGACATTATGAAGGAATTCGGTTTGGTGTGCTTTTGCGTAAAACACACATGGTGCTGTTACGCCCCCTCTCCCATAGACAATGTCCATTTGTTGACAGGAGGGGGTGGAGAAGAAGGGCTTTTTGTCTGTTGAGATATGCTTTCTCTAAAGGTTTTATTATAGAGAATCAAAACATGTTTCCTGTTTCCTTACCGTGCGTATGCAGCGAGTAATGGTGTGTTAAAGTGATTCTGTACTGGGAGCAGTATTTGATATGGGATAATTGTCCATCGAGATACGCCTCCCCTGACATCTTCATAGAGTACCAAATCATGCTCCCTATACTCTGATGATGCATATGGAGTGAGTAGTGAATTAATATAAAGTCATTTTGTTCTGGTAGCATTATTTAATAGGGGATACGGATAGTCTCTGCTATTGTTTTGCAACATGGTATTATTTTTGACAAGGCAGCACATCTCGACACAACACCAGCAAAGACGCGTGAAGCCAAAGAACCACGTCGACTGATAAGGTCCAATATTTACTCTGGTTTGGCTTCCGATTGGTCCCTCTCTCTTTGTCCTCTCTTAGCGTCACCTGTCACCGTCCTCTTCCGTCTCTTAGCCTCAGCCATTCATATAAAACAGAACAGAGATGAGAGAACTGCGACCCGCTGCCGAAGTTACATAGTGCTGAAAGCATGCGACCAGGACACATTACAATTTTAATGTTGAAAGGTTACATTTACACTTCCTTTTATTTACATTAAACCTCATTTATGTAACTGACTCTCCCTGCCTTTCTTCCTCACCTAGAATAGTTTTTTCTTTGCCACCTCAGCATATTCTTAGAAAGCTAGTGTGTTTATTTGCCACTGGTGCCTTGGTCTAATCGGCTATTGTTCTGTTTAGCAAAGGATTACTTTAAGAAGCTCAAACCGTGTTGACTTGCTACTGCTTAACTTTACCTCTCTACACTGTATAGTAACACAAAGCTCTCTTAGACTTGATAGGCATCTGTGGAATGATCCGGTTAGTAATGATTTCTCTTCCTCCTGCTCCTCTTCCTCTTCCAGGGAAGATTCACCATCGCAGCCAAACACCACATCAGTATCGCAGAAATCTACGAGTCTGAATTAGTGGATATTGAAAAGGTAACATTGCATGACAAGAGCTAACATTATATTATAATATCACTAAGTATTGTTTATTCTACAACAGTATCAGCTCAGTCTTTACTCCATTTGTTGTTTTTCTTTCGTAAAGGCGATTGCACATTATGAACAAGCTGCAGACTACTACAAAGGAGAAGAATCCAACAGGTACTGTTCGATTTCTTTGATTTAAATAAAATAGTCTATTTAATCACTCCTTTTGCAGATCTTGAATTGGATCCAACTAAATGATTTAAGTAACATGACTTCAGTAAGAATCTATGCAATAGATATGCACATGCATGCATATGTGGAAGAAAAGTTCTCCTCCAGCGGTACACCTCCAAGCCCTCTCAACTCGTGTTGGCATGAAGGAGTTATCAATGAGAACACACCATCATTGAAGCACCATTAAGAGCAAGCAGGGGACAAAATTGTCCTTGGCTCGAGCTGCAATTGCTTGTGGCCTGCATTCCTGTGTTAGCCGGCCAAAGTTAGCACACTTTGGTCAACTCGTAGCTACACATTGCACATAAATTGATGAGAAATACCGTGATCTAAAAACACCTATCTTACATCCAAATAAGCAGTGAGTAGACTATGTTATTCTTCTCTTCTGTAGTCCTTGAGTAAAACAGGTTTATACACAAGGCCGTCCCGTCCATGTAAACATGATGTAAACACAGCCCGACAACAATACAGCTGGCGGGACTCGCACTTCTCACTCATTGTAGACAGTCATGAGTCAGAGAGACATTGACAGAGGATAAACTTGATTTCTGCTGTGTTTATGTGTAAGATGTCAAACATTCTGCCTTTAAAATGTGCCGTGTACCTTCTGTGCTGTACTATTGTCATAGTTCTGCCAACAAGTGTCTGCTGAAGGTGGGGGCTTACTGTGCTCAGTTGGAACAGTACCAGAAGGCTATTGAGATCTATGAACAGGTGCGTTTTGCCTCTTGCTGCTTCTTAATCAGTATTACATCAGGATGCTGAAATGATGGTCATTCATGATTTGGGTGTTTCTAGGTCGGCGCTAACACAATGGACAACCCATTGCTGAAATACAGCGCCAAAGAATATTTCTTCAAAGCCTCCCTCTGTCATTTCATCGTTGACGAGCTCAACGCTAAGGTGAGTTTATACCTTTGTGGTTCAGTGTTAGAGTTCGGGGGAATCGGGGGAATGTGGGGGAGGTGTTGGGGTAGAATATTAACACGCTGTGTCTCCACAGATTGCTGTTGAAAAGTACGAGGAGATGTTCCCGGCTTTCTCAGACTCTCGAGAATGCAAACTGTTGAAGGTAACTCATCACTAGGAGCTGTGAGGAATCGGATGGCTTACTTTCTTCGCTCTTCATCTGTTTTGTTTCCATGAGTAACCTACATCTTCTTTTTTGTCTTTACCAGAAACTTCTTGACGCTCATGAGGAACAGAACAGCGAGGGTTTCACAGAGGCGGTACGTTTTGAATTCTGTAAGAAAGTTTTAAAACAAGGCTCTTGGTGAGCAGAGGGGTCTCTGCGCCAGCTCTTGTAATTATGGTGGATCCCTTGTGTGTTAAAGAAAGATCAAGGCCTGATCCCAGGTATCTTTACAATCTCAAAGGACCGTGTGTTTACTGGATACTAGAGCAGACTGATGGAGTAATAATTTAGAAATAAACACCCCCAAAAATGTCAATGTAGTCGTAGAGTTAGGAAGGGAGTAGTCCGCCCGTTTTACACACTTCTACATTTTCTTTCAGATAATTGCATCATATATTCAATGTGTGTATATAATAATATATTCTATGCAATGCTAGTGGTATAAATTATACAGAAATAAAAAGTTCTGTGTAAGAAAGCCCTACTAACAAACAACACCTTCAAACTGTAATCCATACTGTTTCTAAAAACCTATCTCTGTGTCCCTCTGCCGCCTGCAGGTAAAAGAATTTGACTCGATCTCACGTCTGGACCAGTGGCACACAACTCTCCTGCTGCGTATCAAAAAGTCCATCGCGGGTGATGAAGGGGATCTGAAATGAAAGAAACCGGGGGGTAAAATCGCAGCACGGAGGGACAAATCCATCACGCATGCTTTCACACTCACACACAACAACACACACACACGCACACACTCTTTCACTCGCTGCACTGTGTATAGCGCCCGGAGAGCGTCCCCGCTGGTTATTTCTTGTTTTTTCACTGCTCACTGCTTCACTGTCAAGAGTACTATCTTTGCTTCCTTACATGCAGATCTGAGTCTAGTCAGAATGTAAATCCTCTCGCCCTCACCTCTTGTCTAGAGGATTGCTGCATACCTCCTCTGCTGACTCGTCCCGTCAGAGCTCAGAGTGGTATCTCGTATTGACACTGATGTTAGTATTAACGACAAGCACTGCATGTTTTGTATGATTATTGTTTCTTAGGCAAACGCAGCTTGCTTTGTTTTTTAAACCTAGTTTATGAATATTTAAACACATTAAGATGTTTCAGTTTATTGTACATAAGATTAACAGTGTCAGTGGATTTTATTTTTTTGTGTCAGATTAGAAGAAAGGGAATCATAAGTATATCAGGATTGTACTTCAAACTTTTGTCATCAGAGCTACAAAAGTGATTCTGTTATCAAGCCATGAGGAGAGACTCTTCTAGAAGAAGGGCGATGATATGCACCAAGTGTAGACTGTTAAACATTTGTATCCAATCACAGCCGTTCCATTTCCATCACTTCTTTGATGATTCATTTATCATTACGAATAATGTGCGTTATTATACGTTGAATGTTTGACTCTGTAAGCTGGGATTTATAGTTTGCCTGTGAAAAATGTATTTTGGAATCGAAAGCACTGATGTGGAAACCCTTCCTCCTTCTATCCAGGGAATTTAATCTGTGGGGGGTTTAATGTGCATCATTAGTCACTCATCTCTTGCTGTGTTGTGTCGTGAACTAATGATGGAGGTTTTACCGCAGTGCACCCTCCATATGGGACAGTCGCTAAGCATGTCATTGTGTATAGTTTAGTGTTGTGGTACATTCACTAGTGTAAGCCAGACCAAAGTTTTTACTAAAGGGTCAGTCGCCCTGCGTATCCAGCTTCTTCCAGGTGGAATGACTATGGACCTTGGATATGATGTGTATGCTTGTGCAAAGGGACGATAATAAAGATATTATATCCCATCTTTGCTGTCCTGCCCTTGAACTTATCTATCAAACAGGACCTTTCATCCTTTTTATCATCCTCTGGAGACGTAATCAAACATTTCCACACAAGCATGTCACACAACTGAAGTCAGATTTTAGAAAGGACATACATGTTTGTACAATTCAAACTTTTAACGAGAGTGAAATATGGGGCATTGTGATTTTGTCTGTCCAACATAAGAGCACGAATTTAACTTTTCAAATTCCATGGAATATTTCAGTCCACTTACAAAAATCCTTAACGTGTTGTTCCTCCGTTTAAATGAGAAAGTTATTGGACCAAACAATTCAATTATAAAATACATTATTTGTTGCTTAAGTTTGAATTCATGGATTCATGTTTTCCTGTTCAGATTTCTTACAATCCTCTTCAGTGGCTGCTGTGTGTTGGATTTGGATGGTACATTTATTATAAAATCTATTTGTCTGTAGCAGTGTTAAAATGCTACTTTTCACATGTCTGCATTATTTTAGTGTCATTTTCTTTTTTTAATGCCTACATGCTTCTATACCATATTTGTAAATATTAATGGATGAAGCCTGAGTGACGTCAGTCATCTGTTACTGCAGGGGGCTCAGGAGGCTTGTATAAGCAGACTAAAGTGATAAGTGACAACAGTTGGTGGTGTCCCATGAACCAAATGAAATACACAAGTACCTCCTGTGCATAAACAGCCCAAATAACAGCTGTGTTTCTATGGAAATGGTTCCAAAGAGAGAAAAGTGGCAAAACTTTGAAGGATTAAATCTACTCCATTTACATTTAGACTACCATAAATCATGAGCAGAGAAGCAAAAGGTAATTCAAAGGTGCAAAGAAAGCTACTTGAAGATACATAGGGGTGCATGCAGCTGCAGCTGCAGCTGCCAAGGACGGCTTAGAACTTTCCCAAGACATCAGACTGAACACCTTAATGCAACTTCTGCTACGCATGATGTAATAGGGATAACATGTCTTAATATGAGTGGTAAGATATGCTGAACCTGATGAGATGTTTGGTGTATTTGATGTATGTAATGTATTTTAAATAATGTGTGCCCCTTATTATTATATAACTTAGTCATGCCCTAGTTATAGCTATAGAGAATATGCATGAGTTAAGGTGACTTGTCATTTTAATGAATACTTGACATTCCAAATGAGTGACACAAACAGTGAAAATCACATTCAAATCTGTTCTTAAAATACTGGACTGATGCTCATGATATATGAATTGGATTTTAAAGGCTTTAGATGCGATTTTTCACACTTAAATATAATAGAAATCAAGTATCTCCTTTAAAAATAACTCGAGTCCCACTGTCTGTGATGTTTTCAGAGTTTTCAGTTTTTCTGTTTGTTGACATAGCCGGCCCGGCCGGCTGACTCCTCCCCTCGTGAATAAAAGTTGTTTAATTGAGGGACTAGAGAATAGAAGACTAACATACTGTACTCACTGCTTAACTGCGTTTCTAGATCACGCTCATTTCAGGTAAATTTACATGCAGTGTGAAGATACAAGCATAATAAAGATCGCTAGCATTAGCATGCTAACCCACAATGCACCGCAAGTTGTTTTGGTTTCATGCTGGTGCTCAAGGGCGACATCTGCTGGATCAAAACAAAACGCATATAAAGCCTTTAAATGTGCTACATCCTGAATAAATCATTTAAATTCATGCGTTCTCTACACAGCATCCTGAGTCTTCAGGAGCCTTCAAGTTGAGCTGTCAGCTCATCTTCTGTCCTTTGCTGTCCATTTTCAGGGGAAGCTGCTGTTTGTTCTTTTCCAGTAATAACCACTGTCTGAATATCAGGAGGCAGTTGTTCTGCCTCTGAGGTAGAGGCTTTAGTCTCTGAATCTGGAGCTAAAATGGTTTGTGAGGCGGCAGCTTCAAGGACAGATGAGGTGGAAACAGTGTGGATCTCTTTGCTGTGAGAAACAGGAACCATGAGCGACGGCACTGACATAGAGGTGGAGGACGCTTCAGAGCACAGGGGGATAGAGTGAGACATGGACACGGGTATGGAGAAGGGCACAGGGATGGCTGTTCCATCTAAGGTTATAACGCTGGCTCCTGTGTTGTCCGTAGACATGATGGGCTGGATCTGGGTCCCAGGTGGCATCTCAGTGTGGATGACAGTGATCCCACCAAGGGCACCATGGCTGACCAGAGCGATGGCCCCACGAGTGCTCCAGTCTGAAGGAAGAGTGACAGGCTCAGTCTGCACCAGAATGGAGTCAGCGTCGGTTTTAACAGGACCCCCAGCAATTCTATCAGCCACATCAGAAGTAGCAGTACCATCGTTTTTTCGACCATTGCCCTTCTTCTCCCCTGAGCCTGATCTGTCTATCTTTTCCTTCGTGGGTGTTTTGGGTTTCTTTTCCTCCACATTTCCCTCCAGCACCACAAGGTAGTTTTTCCAGGGAGCATCTGCATCATGAATCTGAGGGATAGAAGAGCTCAGTTTATTGTCCCAGCCGTCTGAAGGATCAAACTACTACTGTACGTAATGACAAAATATCAGATGAGGAACTTAAATCATGAATCCTTGTATAGAGCTATTATGGTCCAAACAGAACACACATTTAAATCAACAACACCATATCCATGCAGTTGAAAAATACACTTTCTGACAGCTTCACAAAGTAATGCTCACCATAGTGTGCCTGCGTAGGGTAGACTTGTCTGTAAAGGTGCGTTTACAAAGACCACACATGTAGGGCTTCTCTCCTGTGTGAATACGTTGATGCCTCTGCAGGGCGTTCAGCTGGGTGAACTGCTTATCACATTCTTTACAGCTGTATGGGCGCTCACCTGACAGACAGCAGACACATACAAGTCATATTTTAAAACGGACTTTATAAAGCTGTAAAGAACAACCAACAATATTGTCTCCTCTTTAAAAGTGCATTGAACTATTTCGGTGACTTCTGACGTTACCTGTGTGTATTTTTAAATGCTGGTGGAGAGAATTCCTCTGAGCAAAGCCTCGCCCGCACTTATCACACTTGTAAGGTTTGGACCCCGTGTGGATGTTTGAATGGTGCCTCAGGTATTCTTTGGATGCAAAGCTCTTCCCACAGGCCTCACACATGAATGGTTTCTCTCCTAACATCAGAAGGAAAAGAAAAAGAAAGAAGAGAAGAAGAGAAAGGTTATTGTTTGTATTTACCAGACATGTTTTTTTTTTTTAATGGTTGCATGTTTCAAGGTCAATTGAAAAGAAAAACATTATACACAGCATACATTAATGTTAAATCTCTAAACTAAAAATGAAAATCCAAAACTCTGCATCACTTTTTACCTGTGTGTGATCTCTTATGATAGGCCAACATGTGCTTCTGAGTGAACCGTGAATCACACTCGTCGCATGCGAATGGCTTTTCCCCTGTATGAGTCCTGAAAATTAAGCACAGGTTTTAATATGGTTAAAGTCGCAGTGTGAGTAAGATGATTGAGAATGATTAGGCCGCCCATCGTGAGAGTGCTTTTATACCTGCGGTGCATCTTAAGGGCAGAGTTCTGGGTAAACCTGGCCCCACAGTCAGTGCACTGATAAGGCTTTGCTCCTGTGTGTGTCCTCTCGTGCAACAGCAGGGCTGTTTTTGAGCTGAGCGTCTTCCCACAGTCAGGGCAGACATGTCGAGAGTTGTTGCGTTCATGTACCTGAGAAGCAGCAGGCGGGTAAGACATTTTTTTTTATTAGGCTCGTCAATATATTTCTTAGTAGGTTTTTATTTTCATAGACATTATAAAGCATGTGGCGTTAACATTTAGTTAGTATGAGTGGATTATTCTCACCTGGCGTTGATGGCGGACAACATCCTTCTTACGTTTAAAAGTCTTTGAGCAGGATTCACAAGCGAAGAGCCTCTCAGTACTATGAACGTGCTTCTCGTGGATCTTCAGGTTGCTGCGGTTAGCAAAGGTCTGCTGACAGGTCTCACAGCGATAGATGACATCAGCTTGAACTCCATGATAAGTGCTGGACAAGAGATCAGACACAGGTTACAGACAGTTTATGGTCATCTGATATAGAAACAGCTTAACCAGCAGTAAAGATGTACTCCAGTTTACATTGTAGACATGTGGCAGCTCAGTGTCACTGCTGCTAAGAGGACAGGTTAACACACAAACCTTTTCACTAGAGTTGTTACCGCACAACCACAAATGTCAGAACCTACTGCTCAGTTGATCAACAAATGTTTTGTATATTTTAGAAGTTGGTGTCTGACATAACTATTCAGAGGCAGGTTGTGTTACGACACTGCCAACAATCACTGTAACAAGCGGGGAGTGGTTAAGAGTTAGGAAAACCTTTTTGACTTCATCTTGATTTCTTTGTGTGATTTTTCAAATTGAATAATTCATGACAGCAGGCACACAACAGCCAGAGTGGTTGTTATATGTTCAAAACTGTTCAAGCCTTTGTATGCCATCCTGTAGTGTTACACACATGTACAAAAAAAAAAGGTAATGTTAGTACACATGCCCCATGTACGGAAGCCATAGTCCTCTAAGTGAGCGACCCGGGTTCAAAATCCGACCTGTGGCTTCTTTTTCTGCAGCTCCCACTCCCTCTCTCTCCTCGATTTCTGACTCTATCCACTGTCTCAAATAAAAGGCATAAAAATCCCCAAAATAAACCTTAAAATAAATGTGATGTACATGATCAGCTGGTGTTCACAGCGGTCCTGGTATTAGTAGTGACTCAACACACATTTCACATATTCAGTTTAATTGTTGGTAAAGTGATTAAAGCGTTCGTTCTTGTCTTAAAGCACATCTGTTAGGAGAATGGCAGCTCAGGGAGCTCTATGGTCAGACCAAAGGCCAGGGCCACTGAACGGCGAGTGCATGCATTCCAGTCAATTGCAGTACCTTTTGCCTTATTGAATGTAGCCTTATGAAATACTGGTTGCTTTGTCATACTCTGAATTGCTAGATTTTGTTTTTTACACTCAAGGGAAATAGTGTATTTATCAATAATAATAAAAAAAAGCCCAGCAGCAATATTCTGTCCTACCTGATGTGCTTTAAGTAGCTTCTTTCGTAGTGGAAAGTCCGCTGACATTTGTCACACTGGAACTGGGCCTTGGATGTTCTTTTGAATGGCTTCTTAAGCTTCCCCACCTCCTTCTCCTCTTCATCTCCCGTATTTAACATGTCGTCTTCAGGTTCACTAAGCTGCTCATCCTCCTCACATTCCCAGTCATCATCGTCATCGACAGCTGGCATTCCCATCCATGCCTCTTCATCTCCTTTCTCTGGATGAGTCTCTGGCGGCGCCTCAGCGTTAGTCCTGTCTACATCCTCCTCTGTGCCTTCTTTGCTGAGCTGTTTGTCGTTGGAACGCTCTCTTTTAGTAGTTAAACTCCTCTGAAGGACTTTGCGTCCATCCAACCTCAGTTTAAGCCGTTTTGCTTGCGTTGTGTTATCCTTTGCCGTTTTCTTCGTCTTTAGTTTTTTCGAAACAACGTCTTTCTCAGAACTTCGTGCAGGGAGCTTTCTCTTGAGAGTCAAGCTTTTAGGCAAGTTCTTCGTTTTGGTTGTATTTTCTGTTGCCGCATCATAAACGTCATCTTTATCAACAACCTTACATTTTTTCTTTGTGGGTTTGTTCACTGCTTTAGCATTAATGGCCTCAGCACAAACCTCCAACAGGTCATCACAGTCTAGAAATTGTGCAGCTTCTTGAACATCCACAATCGTGTCTCGGGCAACCTTAACTCCTCCCGTGTACACAAACTCCAAAAAGTTGGAGAAATGTTTGGAATGCATATTTGAGAGACGTAATTTGTCCCTGGTATCATCCTGCGAGAGAAGGATCTTCTTGAAGTAGCCACTGGAAGCCGCAAGCATCACCTTGTGTGCCTGGAACTCCGCCGTGTCTCCCTGGTAGTCCACCTGCACTGTGACGTCACTCAGGTGCCCCTGCAGCATGAGCTGGTGCAGAGAGGACAGGATGTTTTCATGGTGGGACTTAGAGGTCAGCTGCATTAGTTTGACCCCCATGGTTCACTGATTCTGCTGAGACAAAGTGGTTGGAAAGGAGGATTTAAATGATTATTTTATTGAGTTTGGGGGGGGGGGGGCGTGCTTTCTCAGAGGTATGACAACAGTAACATAAAATTGATAAGCACAAGTTTTTAGATGGTGGGGGGGGGCTACTTTTTATATATATGTATACATATATTCATGTATTCATCTGGACGATGAATGTCAGCTAAATGCAATATCTTCCAGATTGTAAAATTAGGCAAAATATATTTATCTTACTGCTTTTAAAGGTCGACAATAAATACTAAATCACTCTTACAAATTTGGTGTCTATAAAATGTGCAGGGACATTAGACTTATGGTAATCTTTTCTCTTGATAATGTCCCCTGCAGAGCACAGCTACAGCTAACAGTAGCATTACAGACGCGATGGTAAATAGGCCAGTCTAGCTGATTTTAGCTGCCAACACAAAACAAGTTAGTTGTAAAACACTTGCAACACGTTCAGACCATAACGCCGTGAACACAGTGTCTGAGTGAACGTCCCGCAGCCGCTGAACTACAAGACAACATGAAGTAAGTTTTCTTACCGTAAGCTCGGTAAAATGGCAGCCCTTCACAAATGCTCCTCACATCGAAAAGGTATTTCCTGTAGAAATCGCTCCCGAAAACGGCTTTCTCCCACATCCGGTGCCTCAGCTGGCTGATTCTGGATCCGTTCGTCGTTTTAATGTTGGGGTTGAAAACCATAGCGACCGGCTGCAGCTACTGATCCTGGATCACTTTAGCAGGTTTACAGGAACACAACGAAAAATAGCGCAGCTGACAATTCATGAGAGCAACCCATCCGGGTATTTTGCCCAAACGATGCCGGCCGCGCCCCTTTTTTTCAGGTTAATATTCTACAGTAATACCTGAAAAGATAATAGGGCAAAAGTCGAACTTTTTTTTTTTTTGCTTTTTCACTGTGTTTTGATTTTAATCAGCAGCCTTCAAAAGCCTAATGTTTCGCTCGTATAGGCGTAAAATTATGGACTTTTCTAATGACGTAAAACCACTGTGTTAAATACTGTAGGCCTACGTTGTAAAATTAACTATGTTTAGTTACAAAGCAACCATTCAATTAAATTATTTCAATGTGATATAATATGTCGCCAGGCTGCAGACACTCAACTAGAAACTGACCTAAATGTTAAAGTGCATTCCTGCATCATGTCCACACGGTGGCGCCATCTCACAGGATGTCATAACATGATACTTACAGTGCCGGATTTAAAGCAGTTTTTCCTAAATCTGTAGCAACTGAATCCCCCCCCCCCCCAGCAATGATCCAGTTCTACATAGAATACGTTCAGATATTTTGATAGGTCAGACTCCATTCGTTTTATTTTAGCTGCTTAAAAATGTATTGAGTAGACTTGTGGCTGAGTAGTAAAGACACTAGTTGAATTGGTTGCAAAATAATACAAGCTATGATTTAAGCTGATTCATTTACTTCAAGACCTGCACAATTTTGTTATACAGCAGCAAAAAGCATGCTGTCATTCCCAAGGTGCATGGAAAGCTACTTGAGGATTCACTGGGGTGCTGTTCTGCAGCTGCCAAAACCTTTTTCCTTCCAGAGGAAATCCATATACCTTACATTTGTCTTAATGAATTTTGCAAGCTAGCAATCTGCTCTGTTCCGGTGACTCATGCTGCTCTCTGGGCAGACTACAGCGCTGACCTGGAACACTATGTCCGTCTGGCTTTTATTACATTACTTCTCTGCCATACCATATTTTATGGATTACATTTTTCACACAAGTGCGCCTCCATGATTCATCTTCATATAAAAGACCATCAGAACATCTGCAAATGTAATGATCTGAAACTGTAAGCTCCTGCGAATCAAAGTAGTTGCATAGATTTTAAGTCTGGTTTAAGAAACTAATCCCAGGATTTAATGGAATACCAGCTGCTATGTGCAAATTGAAAAGACAAGTCATTCAAATTAATTACATGTATATTGCCACAAGTAACAATTTTAAGATTAGAGAAAAGAGAACATTTTTCACTTCGGCTACAAGGAAAACCGTTTTTTAATTTGGAGATTTCTCTGTGAAAGACTCTGTATGATGGATAAATGTTGGCTCTTTATAGAAACTTTTTCACTTAAATGTTAAAAGCAGTTAGCTGATTAGATAGCTGAATCATATGTCATTTCTGCAGGATACAGACATCAGATATGAGTAGAAAGTTTGGATTCTGGGTAATGTCTGTGGTATAAATAAAATAAAGTTGGGTTGTGGTTTGTGATGTTGTCACAGGATGCTTTGTCATAATGAAGACATGGCAGGGAAACAAACTTGAGGTTCTACATTTCATCACTGGCTGACATGTGTAATCAGGGGGATGAACATTCACTGCATCACTGAAATAACAAAAGGTCAAACAGTCATCTCAGTATAATGCCATTTTTAATATACTTTCAGCAGTACTACAGGCTGACTTTTTAAATGACTGCAGGGCATTTTCTGAAATTCAAAGGTGCACTATTGAGCTGGGAAGAGAGGAAATGGATGTCATGTAACAGCAGTCGAGGGTCCAGATGTTGCCTGTCCATGGCATGCATAATAGCCAGACACATCACCAGGCCACCCAGTAACAAATTAAACTCCCACAGATGTATCATCAGGTTGTCAGTGAAGAAGAAGAGGTGCAAATGCTTGCTGAAAGGTGACGGGCTCAGCAAATACAACATTCGACCACCGTTGGTTGTTTGCTCAGCTATGGGTAGACTCCTCCACACAAACTGAAAATATCTGTGCTGACGTTCCACAGCTCACAAACAACGTGACAAAATGTGAGCTGTGTGAGTGAAAAAACACAACTCAAAGCCAAGGCCGGTTTTAATTTGAGGCTACAGAGTGAACACACTATACAAAAACACAGCAGGATACTGGAGTTGGGTGGTGATGGTTGTGTCTGGGCTCGGTTTGTGTGCAGGAGTCGTGCAAACACTTAAATCTGGATGCAACGAGGGTAAGCAAGTCAGTCGGTGTCCTTGCAGGACCTCTGTACAGGACTGACTCATAATCCTAGCAGATGAACTGATGGTAAACACCAGAACATTACATGGAAGTGCAGACAGAGGTGGTCCAACAATAACCGCAGCATTCTCTTTGTGCTTGCCCACATTACCACACAGCTGATGCCAGACCAATCACAGACCAGTCCAATTTAGTTTGCTGTGGTGTAGTTCTCTTCCCCTCTAGTCACAAAACTTGGTTAACAAAAAACATGTTGCATGAATTCATTGTTTCATGCTCTTAGACTTGTATTACATTTGTTGGTATCAATGGGACACAGAGATTCTTGATTTTATGCAGATTTGGACCAGGTTTTGGTGAGTTTTGTAAATGGAAGAAAATTTCCATCCGTATTGATTCAAGGAAGAAATTGGTTTGGAGTCAAATTTAGTACATGTTTGTGCTGTACTGTCAAGGCCAAGTTTGCTTAGCCAGGATACACACAGCAGTCCAAACCTGTCTCTATCCTCCCTAACAGTTTTAACCTAGCTTCTTTCCCTTTTCCCTTTTCTTTTCCCTTTTTAATTGGCCGCATGCCATACCACATTCAGCCTGTCCAAAATACTACTGGAACGTTTTAAAACCTCAGAGTAGCATCATAAGAAACCGATGTTTTACCAAAATGTGGAATTGTAATATTTTCTTTTTCTAAGACTCATGAAAAATTACAGTATATGCAGGTCATGTCCTTGCTCATGACCACACATGTTGTAGATTACAATTATTAAACTGCTCCTGCAGCGTTGTTGCCTTTCTTTATCTCAGTTAAAGCATTGGTCCACCATTTTGCTAAATAATAAAAAAAAACAATTGACCAATTGCTTTGTAACTTGGGAAAATATGCCAAGAGGATGAATCCTCTGGTAATGCGCCAACCCCTCTTTTCAACAAATACAAGGTAACAAAAAAATGTAATTAATCTTGTAAATTAGCTTGTGGCCAGGTAAATAGAACCAATTGGCAAATGTTACCATTCTAACATGCTAGCTAAACTAGTTAAACACGATGGAGTCAATGGTAGATGTATTGTCATTGTAAGCCCTGATCATGCACACTCTTGCTAAGCTTGGTCATACCTAACATTAGCAACTCTGACACAATGGTAAATAAGCTAAGCTAGCTACAATAGCTGTCAACACACAACAAACTGGCTTTAAATGCGATCAACTACAAAAACAATGTCACTTGTCCCTATTAGCATGCTAACATTCACACTTAGTTTAAAGATCAAGGCATTGCAGAGTAGTAAGTATTTAGCATTGCCCTATACTCTTTGTCAACTTCTGTCACTTCAGTGTATTGTATAACAATCAACTGCACGAAATACCACAATTGTGAAGGTTTCTTTCCTTTCCCCCTTAAAATAAGCTTCACGTCAACAAACAGAAATGTTTTCCTACTTGAGCCCGCCTGGTTCAGAAACTCTTTCCTTTCATTGATGAAAAGATATACAGCATTCAGAGATGAAATTACTTTCTAAATGGACTCTGACTCACCATCTCTATTCCCAGTTCCCTATTACACTCACCCTGCCTCCCTTCCTCACCCTCCTCTCCACCTTCACTCGTCCTTGTGCTTATTCTATCTATTGTAACTGTATACAGCACTTATCACTTCAGACGGCAGACAAACCAGCTCAAGGACAACCACCCACACTTACCATACTCATAAATAGACTATTTGTCCAGGCTTACCAATCACCTTATCCACCAAGCTTGTGTGGGTGCTTGTGGACAATGTGTAGCTCGCACTAAAATAGATTCTCACTGCTGCTTTGTGAGGGAGTAGCTGGGCCTCCAGCCTGCATTTTTCACATCTAAATGACTGTTGCACCTTTGAAAATGAACAGTTATGACTCACAAAGTCTATCCTTATATATTGTGTGATTTTATCACCAGTTTGACTGCTTAAACAGGTGGTGTCGACTCCACAGAGTTTCCCAGAATGCAACCCTCGCCCCGACTGTGTGGGACATGACCGTCAGCACATTCCTGGAGAGAGCTGTATCCCCAGAAGCAACAATTCCTCCTTCCTCTCTTCCCTCCCTTCCTTCCTGCCGCCCTCGTGTCCTCTCCTTTGCTTCCGTGGATTGCATCACTCGTCTGCCGCTTGGCCTCCTCTCCTCGGACCCTTTAATCACATACAGCACATACACACACACGCACACACGCGCACACACACACACACACACACACACACACACACACACACACACACACACACACACATTGTAGGCAGAAGGCACCCTCCTCAGTCCTCGTACTGGTTTTCTGGCTTCAGTTGGAATTTTATGGTTGGTTTGAGCAGAGGATTTTGGAGGTCTTCCAAAAACTCTGCTTCTGCCCCTCCATCTCTTTGTTCCATTTCTTTCTTTTTCCTTTCTTCCTCTCTTTTCTCCCCTGCTTGCTTTACCAGCTCGCCCTCAAGGTCAGAAATATCTTGTGGTTTAGGTTTGATCCCTTTGGATATGCCTTTGCTCCGTCCCTCTTTCTGTCGCTCCCTTCCTTTCTGTCTCGCTGGGCCTCACTTACACACTTACTGTAAGCATACTGCATTTCTCTAAAGCATTCCCATACAGGAAGTACATGCTGGGATCAGCATGGGCTGGTCTGTGTGCATTGTAACACATATGTACACTCCCTCCCAGTTGGGGTCAACTGACTATTTAGACATTTAACATTCAGGAGGGAAAAATATAGTCATCAATCTCAGTGATGGAGTTGTCATCACTAAAGACATCTTAAATCTAACGGTTCAGAAAAAT